CACCGCTCGAGTTCTCGAGCTGGTAAATGTCCAGGACTGTTTCGAGGTTGATGTTCTCAAAGTAAAGCTTATCAGCTTCGTCGTAATCTGTACTAACCGTCTCCGGGTTATAGTTGACCATGATCGTCTTGAAACCGGTAGCGCGAAGGGTACGAATAGCTCGGACTGAGCACCAATCGAACTCGACGGATGAACCGATACGGTAAACACCAGAGCCAAGGACCATAACACCGTGATCGTCGAAGTTGACATCATGATCTGAGGCATTGTAGGTCATGTAGAGGTAATTTGTGAAGGCAGGGAATTCAGCTGCGACGGTATCAATCTGCTTTACGAAGGGCTGGATACCAGCCTCAAGTCGCAGGCGACGGACAGCAATCTCGTTGGAGCTCCAGAATTTGGCGAGTTGGCGATCACTAAAACCCAGACGCTTGGCCTGGAGAAGGATAGAGGGGCTGGTGGTGATGTCGGTTGTGCTGTAGCAAGTCATTCTCTTGGCGAAGTCGCTCAAGCCCTTGAGCTTGCGGAGGAACCACTTGTCGATCTTGGTCAACTCCCAAATCTTGTCGACAGTGTATCCCTCGTGCATGGCGTTGGCGATGGCAAATAGACGCTGGTCAGAGGGGGTCTGGAGCTCATCCTCAATACTCATGAGGGCCTCCGTCTCATTGAAGCCGAGGTTGTGGAAATCAATGGCTCGGATGGCCTTCTGGATGGCCTCCTCGAAAGATCGACCAATACTCATGACTTCGCCCACACTCTTCATGGAGGAACCGAGCTGAGTGGACACACGGGTAAACTTCTTGAGATCCCATCGAGGCATCTTGACCACGACGTAATCGAGCGAGGGCTCGAAGCAAGCACAGGTGGACTTGGTGACTGAGTTTTTAATCTCCTTGAGAGGAATACCAAGACCAAGCTTAGCAGCGATAAAGGCCAGAGGGTAGCCTGTAGCCTTAGAGGCGAGGGCAGAAGATCGAGACAGACGAGCGTTGACCTCGATAATGCAGTACTCGCGGGAAAAGGGGTTCAAGGCATACTGAATGTTACACTCTCCGACAACGCCGAGATGGCGAATAACATTGACAGCTGTTGTTCGCAGCATATTGTAGTCTTCATCAGACAAGGTCTGCGAGGGAGCGACAACAATAGAGTCACCAGTGTGGATACCGAGAGGGTCGAAGTTCTCCATGTTACAGACTGTGATGCAGTTGTCTTGAGCATCACGGACAACCTCGTACTCGATCTCCTTCCAGCCCTTCATACTACGTTCAATCAGAACTTGGGGACTGGCGGCAAAAGCTTTGTTGCAGAGATCCATCAGTTCCTCATCATTGTTGGCGAAGCCACTGCCGAGACCACCAAGGGCATAAGCAGCACGCACAATGACGGGGAAGCCAATGTCCTTTACGACGTGCATAGCCTCGTCGATGTTGTTGGCAGAGGCGGACTTTGCACACTTCTCGCCAATGGAGTCCATGCTTCGGGCAAAGAGCTCACGATCCTCAGTGGTGATGATGGTGTCGATAGGAGTACCAAGGACCTTGACACCGAGAGACTCGAACTCATCCTTGAGCTGGATACCGACTTGAAGGGCGGTCTGGCCACCGAAAGTCACATAGATAGCATCGGGTCGCTCATACTGGATGACCTTTCGAACGAAGTCGGCGTTGACAGGGAGGAAGTAAACCTTGTCAGCCAAGCCCTTTGAGGTCTGGATAGTGGCAATGTTGGGGTTGATCAGGACAGTGTAGATGCCCTCTTCCTTCAAAGCCTTGATAGCTTGGCTACCAGAGTAATCAAACTCACCAGCCTGACCAATGCTGAGACCACCACTGCCAAGAACGAGGACCTTGCGAACGGAGACGCGGGGGTGAAGACGCTCATTCTCCTCGATGGTGCCGCCAGGGAAGCTGACAGGAGCCTTGAGGAGCTCGGGCTTCTCGGCGCAGTTGGCCATGGTGTTAATGAACACATCAAAGAGGAACTCGGTGTCGCGAGGACCAGGGGTGCTCTCAGGGTGAAACTGCACACTGAAGTAGGGCTTCTCAGTATGGAAGATACCCTCATTACTGCCATCATTGGCGTTGACAAAGAGCTCTTTCCAGCCATTGGTCAGGCTGTCAGTGTCGACAGCGAAACCGTGGTTCTGAGAAGTGATGTGGCATTTTCCGGTCACCATGCTGGTACAAGGAATGTTGTGTCCACGGTTACCGAACTTCATCTTCTTGGTGGTGGCACCAGCAGCACGGGCGAGGAGCTGATGTCCCAAGCAGATACCAAAAACGGGGATTTCATTCTTCTCGAGGACGGCAGCGATGTTCTTAACGACGTTGTCGAGCATAGCGGGGTCACCGGGACCATTGGAGAGGAAGAGACCGTCGAACTCGTCAATGGCGCTGGCAATATCGTAGTCCCAAGGGCAGACAAGGACCTCGACACCACGCTTGAGGAAGCACCTCAGCTGGTTAAACTTCATACCGACATCGAGGCACAAAACACGGATAGTACGCCCAGATGGGTGCTTACGGGCGACCGAGGTCGGAGGCTTATAGAGCTTAGGAGCCTTAATGGAAACTACATAGATAATGAGCATGCGTCTTCGAGTTTGAAAACGCTAGGAAACTCACCTTCAGCCACCAAGTTCTTGGTGTTTGGGTTGACCCATTCGACCTGCTCAAAGTGGTCGGTGGGCAAAGCAGCCAAGGCATCGTCAGCCTGGCCGTTGGCAGAGCCATTGGTCAGGCCGCGAGTTTCAAGGCGCATCTTACCCAACATGCTACCCTTCTCACGGATCCTCTTGGTCAAAGAGCGAGTGTCAACGCCGTACATGGCGGGAACGCCCTGTTCCTTGAGCCATGTGCCCAGAGAGGATTTGGCCAAGAAGTGGGAGAAGTCTTCGCCAGCATATGAAGCTGTGACTAGACCAGCAATGTGGATTTCGCTAGACTCGAAGTGAGCTGGCAGATCGCCAAGGAGCTCATCCATGGCCTCGCGCGAGGGAACACCATAGTTTCCGACAAGAGGGAAAGTGATGACGAGGATCTGGCCGCGGTACGAAGGATCCGTGACGGACTCTGGATAGCCGACCATACCCGTTTGGAAGACCAGCTCTCCAGCAATGCTCTTCTGAGCACCAAAGCTGTAGCCCTGGAAGGAGGAGCCATCTTCAAGCTCGAGGCAGACGAGGCCATCATCCTCGGCGCCAATCTGACGCGCAGAGGCGGGAGGCTGAGGAACCAAAGCCATTGTAGTAGTGATGGTAATGGTTTGAAGGTAAAGCAAAGAAAGACACAAAAAAGCTCCGGCGCTGGGCTATATCAACAAAATACCCAAAGAAGCGCGGGGCAACGACGTGGAGGGGTCGTCCCGGGAGGACAGGGAGATTGCGAGCGACGGGCCGGCAAGTTAACTCGTTTTCAGAGCTACCCTGGTAAGGTCAGAAGCTACCTCGCAATCATCAGCCTCAACTATAGTTAGAGGTGAAGAGGATGTTGGAGAAGAGCGAAGGTTTGGGAGGAGGAGAAAAAAGAGAAGGAAGGCTCTTGATGAAAACGGCCCTCGAAACTTTTTTTTTATCGCCGGGGCTGCAGCACAGGTTACTCCCCGCTGTGTATTGCTATAAACTCTAATTGGCCAATTGAGAGGCGGTTCCCTTAGATGCGGCCAATCGCAGCATTCCATTAAAATCTGCAGGGACACTAAAATGCCCCGCCATGCCTTGGCCAAACTTCTCAAGCCACTCCACAAGCTGCGCAACAACCTTTCATCATGACCGATCGCTGATCAGAAATGGTTGGGCTTGAGCCTCGAGAGTGGGTTTGTTGGATCAGCGGTCAGGGTTTAGCCGCACTGTCGATACGGGCCAAGGCATTGGGAAATTCCCTGCCCGAGTGCCATGGCAGGTGGCGGGGACACTTGTGAAAGACTCCGGTAACGGAAGAAATATCTACGACATATGCGGCTTGGAGTTGTCATGACAAAGTCTTTAACGTGGAAAGCAATGCATTGCTAAATGCGTAGGCAACCGCTCTGGAAGCTGCAGAATGCTGGTACTATGTAAGCTTTCAGGCCATAAGCATAATAATAACGCTTACTGTGAGCAGTCAGCCACGCGTGCAGCAGGACAACCTTTTCTCAGCCGGCACTCAGCGTCTCAAGATCCATGATCGAAAAAGCTCGAGCCCAGGGCGGCAGTGAGAAAAAGGCGCTTTACATCACAGGCTAAAACGTACAGCATCCACTTTCCGCTCAGCATCCACCTCCACAGCTTGAAAAAGAAATTTTTTTCTTACATCTGATCTTGCTGTGATTGGGTTAGTTCATGGTGATTGTCCACCCTCAGTCACGGTTAGCCTCATGCAAGCCGCCAAAACCCGATATGCAGGTTCACCAGCAAGTATCCTGACATGAGGCTCGTGCTACAGCATGAACGTCTCAACAATTATGGAGCAGAGAAATAATATGGTATGCTCCGTTGCAATGGAAGATACATACATACAAACACCCCATATGTTATAAATATCACGAACTCGACCTTCGAATAAAGTGTCATTGTTTCATGTATGCAAATTTGGCTTGACCGATTCGGTGAAAACTACTTTACGAGATTGCAGATTTGCGAAATTGATACAGCCAAAAATGAACGTAAAATCATGTATGCAGGCTAGACTCTCTTGGCTTTTCATTGCTAGTATTCCTGAAGCAAGCTCCTCAACGCCCTGAGCAAAATGACCAACTACATATACACTCCTCCTTTTGAACCACCCCGAAAGTAACGCTATTCTTATAACTAGATTACTTCTAATCTGCCAGTTTGTCAAGCTCTCAAAACCAGGCCAGCCCTTATATCATAAAAAAGAAGAAAAATTGTTATGCTATTCGTTAGACGAACTGGTCAACTTGACCCAAAAGAACTCCATCTGTGTCTATAAAACCTTGCAACATATCTACGCCTTCACGTTCTTTGTCTTACTCAGTAGTCATCCGAACCAGTAACGTTAGGGCATAGGAGGTGCCCCCATATTCGTGATCTTTGGCGTCCTTTGTGCTGTCGGGCTGGCCTGGCATCCCATCATGGCAGGCTTCTGGCCGCCTTGTGTATTCATACGGTAAGCTGGTTCTCTCTTCGGGTCAATGCCGGGGAAGACAGCCTGTAATCTTGAATACAGGTCCCTTATGCTATTGTTTCGCTCTTCACGATCAGCGACCGGGTCGATGTTGTTGTCTGCACCTTCAGGTCCTACAGCGGGGGCCCGGAGTTTCAGCGAAAGAGTCAGAGCAGGGGCAGTGAGGTATGCTGGACAGGGCGGAACTTTAACTTCGGGCTTTCGATCCGCAAGTGCGGCCATATACGACAAGTTTGCTTGCAATCTCCTCATACATCTGAGGCACGGTTAGTTGTGTAAAGTAATTCGTTGTCCAAATGAGAACTCACTGGAGATAGTCTTGCTGTAGTTGTGACTCCTCGTCTGTCGGTTTTTTATCGGCAGGGTTTCCAGCTGCAGCGCTCTCCTTCTTCAATTCTTGTTGGGTTGCCTGGATTTGTATAGATTCATAGAGAAGCTCGTGGTTGATATCGAGCAGCAATGCGAATCGTTCTTTATCTCGAGATTCGGTACCGGGGCTTAGCGGAGCCGCTGTTAAAGTTCCGTTGACAGCCGGTCCTTGATTTGTAGAGAAGGTTGGCGTCTGGGGTGTCGATAATCCGGCAGATACGGGTTGTTGCGACTGCTGCTGCCCTTGCGCTTGTGTCGGAGCTTGTTGAGTCTGCTGCTGCTGCGACTGTGGTTGTTGGGACTGCTGGTTTGTGGGGGTCTGGCTTTGAGAGGGAGGCTGAGGAGTCGGGAATTGACCCTGCTGCGAAGGCAGAGCATTGTTTGGTGTTCCTTGTGCGGCGCTCGGGGGTCTTTGAGGGGTCGATACCTGGCCCATACCAGCGGGGTTAGCAGCTTGTTGTTGCTGTTGCTGTTGCTGTTGCTGTTGCTGTTGCTGTTGCTGTTGCTGCTGCTGCTGCTGTTGCTGCTGCTGCTGCTGCTGCGCTTGAGCCTGCGCTTGCTGTTGCTGTTGCTGTTGCTGTTGCAATCGCTGCATCATTTGAGGATTCTGGGGCATCCCGGGTTGATTCATCGGGAAGCCCTGCATGCCTCCGCCCATCATATAATTCGGCGCAAAATTCTGAGGAGCGACTGACGAGGGAACGACTTGACCGTAAGGGTTACCAGCGAACTGCTGTTGGAAACCTGCCACTGTGCACAATATATTAGTCAGGTGTGAAGGAGGAGTGCTTTGCCGTGTCGCATATCGTTTTGCGCCGAGCTTCTTCTTAATGATGCCTAACCACAGGCTGCCCACGCATCGTTAAAGAGGCTGGAGCTGTTTACAGGAGCATTGGAAGCAGGCGCGTCGTGAAAGATTCGATCGGGGATTTCGCGCGAATGAAGAAATAGTACCTACTCTGACCATTGGCAGCCATATGCTGCATTCCTGCGTTTGGCATCATGCCTCCTGGGCCAGCACCCATCATTTGAGGATTCGCGCCAGGGTTAAAGCCTCCTTGAGGCGTCATGCCGGCGAACTGCTGCTGCTGGTTATACATCATCTGCTGAGCGGCTGGCTGGGCTCCGGACTGCTGCTGTGGGGCAGGGTTGTTGAAAGAGGGAGCAGCATTGTTGCTAAAGCCGTAGCCGGCGGAGTACATGGCTGTTTGTGAATGTGACTGTGACTGTGACCTGGGCTGGGCTGGGCTGTCGCTTTCAGGGCGTCAAGGCGTCAGTGCAGCGCTTCAAGCGGCAGCGCGTGCTGTACTGGCTGTGCTGTGCTGTAGCAGCGGCAGACAGCAGCGTATGGTAGTGGGAGGGATGTGTTGGGATTGCGCGTGTGTGAGCGAGAACAGGCTTGTCGTTGGCTGGCGACGGAACACGAATGGGGTCCAATCAGTCGGTCAGTCCATCAATTCGGTGAGTGACAAGTGAGGAGTGACAGGAGGTCGTATGGTGTGGGATCGGGAGGCTGGGCTTGTCGCTTGTGTACGGATATGGACATGTATGGACGCGGTTCAGTTGGTTCAGGTTCCAGGATTGGAAATGAAACCTAGAGTTAACTCAACGGTGGACAGATGAGACGTGGTTGTGTGGGTCCAAATGTTACGGCAGTCCGGGTGGGTAGCAAGGCCGTTTTTGTCACGGTTACACTTCAGCTACGGCGGTTCCGTCAACACGACGTGTTCAACGTCAGGGACCGAAGTGTATAGTTATCCCTTTATACAACCCGCGTTTAATTATGACTTTGCTTTCGTCCATGCATGTGTACCTATTTTCCCACGAAACCCGACTCACTGCGATAAGGTTGTCGGTAGTTAAAAGAGGCTTCAGCCCCCAGCGCGCAAAGGTAAAGAACATCAATAAACATATACGGGCAAGATACTCATTGCCCTCACTGTTACCTAGGATCTTGGTTTTGGCTGAAAAGTAAATATCCCGATGACTGACTCCAGAGGTGTATAAATAAGTGCTGCTGCTCTTCCGCATACGGAGTACAACCTTAGTCGATTCTTCGATCTGCATACTTCTCTAAACTCCAATTGTTCAAGTAGCAGATATCCAATGAACGTCCATTGACAAGGGTAGTCCAGGAGCTGCAGTCCATGTGAGACACATACCGACGAGGGCTGGCTGAGTTTATAAAACTACGTATCATCCAACGCCAGCGCCCCCAAATCACTAATTCGATCTCAGGCTTGTTTACTCTTATTTTCAGCCGCACGCCATGTATAGAAGCTAAGTATCACTCTTGAGCCGTCACACTTCCCAGAAGCAGTAGCATACCGGGAACTTGCTTCGCGACAGGCGAGCATGGCCCGATATTCTCAGACCCAAGCAGACTCAAAACTGGCAAAAAGAAATGATCACGCTGGGGATCGAACCCAGAATCTTCTGATTCGTCAGACGCCTTGCCATTGGGCCACTCAGACGCCTTGCCATTGGGCCACGCGACCTCGCTCTTGAATGATTCCTGGTGTCCAAAATCCCGTCCAAGATTGTGGATGACACAGACGTATGTACCTCAAGCGCGATTAAAAACTCCTGGGGTCGTATACTGTTCGCTGTACATCTGCTCTTGTTGTACAGGTGAAAATTACCGTAGTATGCCCCTGTAGTCGACCTATTCTGAGTCCGCAGTTCCCAAGTTACCTCATTGCTGGTAGGATTGTCAGTTGCGAAGTTAAGCTTTCCGGTATATCAATGATGAAGGTATGTTGAAAGTGATATGCCAGACACACCACGTTGCGCTTGCGCTTCATAAGCACAATAGGTCGAGTTAGAAACATCTGCCTAATCCATGACTATGGACCTTGTAGGGCGCGCGCTTCGTGTAGCGATAAAGTGCATTAATCCTGCCAGACGACAGTCCATTAACGCGTGTTCTCTTCGGGATACATTTGTATACTGAAGTTATCCAAGAGAACAGGAAGCGAAGATGTATATATAGAACGGTCAGAAGTAAATAGAAACCAACATTTCCATGTCGCGATAAGAATTGGTGTAAAACATCGGAGGTTTGAAGTGCTCTGGCGTCACGGAGATGGCAGAATGCATAACGCGGTGTAGAGTCGTAGACTCAAGAGCGCATAAAACGAGCCCTGTTGTCTAGCCAATCATGGCTCAAGGGAGTTACACAAAGACTCGACCAATCATTAACCGCAATACAACCACAAACTAATCAAGTTGAGAATGTGATACTTCTCTCGCTGACAACAATCCTATATACATATGTATTATAAGGGTTTGTTCTTTTGACATTTCTGATCTTCAGCATAAAGGTCTGTGTGTGTCAAAGGATATCCCAATATCGAAATCATTCTCAGACTTAAACGCCTGGCAACCTGACCAAAGCACTACCCGGGCCTAATCTTTCTACAGAAAAGCATAACTAGGTACTATTAGAATGGCATTATCCAAATATTGTTATGCGTGGTAATGTAATGTCCTATCCAAGCGCAAAAGGCAGCATATGCTCCTAGTAAGGAGGGTTAAGACTGCTAACTGTCGGAACCAAAAAGAATGATCACGCTGGGGATCGAACCCAGAATCTTCTGATTCTCAGACGCCTTGCCATTGGGCCACCCTTCACTCTTGAACTTGAACGCAGTATTCAGTACCATCTCTCTGGAGTTGTGTCGAATTGATGCTTGACGACGCCTGTTCTTTTTGCTGGTTTGACTGTGGCTGCGGGCCTTGATCTTGAAATAGGGTTTGGCTTTGTTTTTAATACTCAGTGGCTAAGTCTTTGGCTTTTCTTTGTTAGGTTATGACTATAGCGAATTATTGAGGCAGAAAAGGCATAGAGCCGATCGAGTGGTACCTGGAAATTGATTGTTCTATTTGTCTTGGTGTCTACCGTCGGCGAACCTATAAACTAATTCCGTCGTCTAATAAACACCGGATTAACATGGAATGACATATGGGAACCCTGTTCCATAACATCTGGTCTTGGGTTTTCAACCATGAAACCGCTGTTCAAAAATTTCATTGTCCTTCAGGGTAACGCTTTGGCACATGCATGATTACAACATCAATATTAGTACCTGAACTCAAGCCATAATGACTCAATTGCATATCGGGAAACAATCGCTCTTTCGCACTGCAAGCCTTAGTTCTTCTTCCGTTGTTTATCAAGGTTCTAAACACCAAACCTTGGGATACATACATAGTATGCGTTGTATCCGTCATGACAAGATGAAAGCCCCACAAAAAAGTCAATGACTCCCCTCCGGCGTCGGACTCAGCAATCAAAAAGTGTTAAACACCACATCTTAAAGAGCCACGCATCCTCATTACTTCCCAGTCCATAAGGAGACAGATCACCACCAAAATGGCTCCCTTCAACCTCGAAAGCTGTGCCAGGCCAAACATCTTAGCCCTCCAGCCATATCGCTGCGCGCGAGAGCATGTTGCCCCTCCCCCGCATTAGAGCAACGACTAACTTTCCCCAGTGACTACAAGGATGACGGCACCAATATCCTTCTCGACGCAAATGAGAACGCGTATGGCCCTTCTCTGAGTGCAGACGTCGCAGGGAAGGCTGCGAATGGTGTGGAGGTCGACTTGCTGGGCCTGCACCGTTATCCTGATCCTCACCAGGAACCTTTGAAGAAGCAGCTCTGCGAGCTACGAAACACCCACGCCCACACAGATAAGATGCTCAAGCCTGAGAATTTGTTTGTGGGTGTTGGTAGTGATGAGGCTATCGATGCTCTGCTGCGATGCTTCTGCGTTCCCGGAAAGGACCGCATCCTCACATGCCCGCCTACGTATGGCATGTATTCTGTGTCTGCACAGGTCAACGACGTGGCTCTCGTCAAAGTTCCTCTTTTAGAACCTCCCACCTTCAGCATAGATGTTCCAGCTGTGATGGAAGCCCTGGAAAACGAGTCCAACATCAAGCTTGTCTACCTTTGCTCGCCTGGAAACCCCACCGGTTCAGTCCTTGCTAAGTCAGACGTTCAGCAGATTCTGGATCACCCAACATGGAACGGCGTTGTCGTTCTCGACGAAGCATATATCGACTTTGCCCCCGAAGATGCTTCCCTGGCTGAATGGGTGACCGAGTTTCCTAACCTCGTCGTTATGCAAACCCTCTCCAAAGCCTTTGGTATGGCTGGCATCCGACTCGGTGCTGCATTCACATCGCCCCCTATTGCACGACTTCTCAACAGTCTCAAGGCGCCTTACAATATCTCCAGCCCCACAAGTGCCCTTGCGTCCTACGCTGTTTCCGAAAAGGGACTCGCTATTATGCGAGACCATCGTGCGCGCCTTCTAGAGCAGCGTGATCGTCTTATCAAGGAACTTCCAAAAATCCCTGGTGTTGGTCGTCTACGAGGTGGCACTGAAAGCAACTTTTTGCTTTACGAAATGCTCAACACTGTAGGCGAGCCGGATAATACTGTCGCGTTGGCCGTATATGAGAAGCTTGCTGAGGGTAAAGGTGTCGTTGTGCGATTCAGGGGAAAAGAGCACGGATGCCAAGGATGTCTACGAATTACAGTCGGCACAGACGCCGAGGTGACAAGATTTCTGGAGTCACTAAAGACGACGTTGGCTGAGGTGAGAGGCTCGTAAACTGGAGCACCGAATAGGAAAAGGGCGATAAAACGACGACGTTCTACGTTGAATCCAGACCTTCTAGACGTAATCTCGTGGAATTAATAAAAGCAACACTCAGAGCATGAGCGTTTTATACCAAAGTGGTCTCTCAGACCGGTTATCCAAATGCCCGACGCCAGTTCCATTCTATATCTATAAAGTCTAATGAATATCCAATACGTTTTTTTAGGCCCATCCCAAGAACATGAGGACACTTCCAATACTGACCGAAGCCAGAACGAGATCCGCCCGGGGGATACTAGCAGCATCCTTACTCTTGGTGGGCTGAGCTGCAGTTGCTGATGATGTCTCTGATGAGGACGTTGGTGTACTCGTAGTTTTGGACTCGTCCTTGTCCATGGCAGCCCAGTCTGTGCTGCGGACAACCTTGACATCATCGCCCTTGAGTGGTGCAGGAGCATCACTTAGCAACAGGCCCTGAACAGCTTCAAGAGCGCACATTTGCTGCCCAAGACCGGGATTTCCATCAAAACCCGCGTTGTACCATCGCATACCACACTCACGGCCAGACTTCCCTCCTGTGCATGTTTGG